GTTTGGAAACTGAACAGGTGGGATCAAAACTGGTGGCATCTTAGGCATGGCTTCTCCTTTGACATCGTGATCGTGATGGAAAATATGATTTGCACGAGCTCATATCACTTAATCCCGAATCAATTGAAATTTTGAATTATGTTTTTTCCTCACTCAACAAACACGTTAAACAATATTCTAATTATGAAGGGGAACTATATTATGAGCTAAAAATACTTTTCCATATATAATTTTAATTTATTATAACATGTAATTATGTAAATATGTCTCTTTCTGCTAGTAACTTTTAACAATACTAATTAAATGTCTATCCAACTTTTGGTTATAATAAAATATATATATATATATGTATATACAAATAAAATTTCTAAAATATAATTACACAAATAAAAATAGATGTCATCATTCTTAATTTGAAAAACGCTAACCTTTTCAATGGCATCGAAATATTTTTATATTATACTAGTAACTTTTAACAATAGTAATTAAATATATGTCCAACTTTTGATTATAATAAAATATATATATATATATATATCTAAATACAAATAACATTTCAACAAAAACAAAAATTATATAATTAAAAATTTATGCCATCATTCTTAATTTGAAAAGTTTCAACATAACATTATCGGAATATTTTACTTTGTACCCAAAAACAAAAAAAAAAAACAAATAAATACTTCTATATAAACCCAATATACCGAACGCAAAACTCATCCATTGACAAAAAGAAATCGAACTACTAGTTTTAGTCATATGGCAGCTCTACAATGTCTTATTTTGTCCTCATTCCAGATTCTATTTTACTCGTCTATTTTATTAATGTTATTGTCAAGTTCTCCAAATGAATGTCGGCCTTCACAAACTCAATTTCATACCGTGGACATTACTTCCCAGCTCTCGGCTAATGTGTGCAGTCCAACTATCCCTCTTGGTATATATTATAACTTATTTATTTTCAGTTATTTATTGTACATTTGAAATTATGTTTGTACAAGTGGTGTTATTAATATAGAATGATCTCAAAACTAAATTTAAGATAGTTGTTAATTTTTTTATTTTTTTTTTTAAGAAATAAAAGGAAAAACGAAACAAAGAGTTCCAAACAAATTCATGAATGTGCAGGTATGAAGAATAGACACTCATCATTAGCAGTATTGGAACTCATACACAGGTACGGTCCATGTGCTGACGAGCTGCAGCTCACGAAGCCAAGAAAACCGACGAGACACGATGTTGCTAGCACTCCTCTCAGCCCTGTCGAATTCCAATTATACAGCTACTACATCGTCACCATGGGCTTCGGCACGCCAGAACAAAAGATGTCCCTCTTTGTGTCCCTCGGAAGCGACGTTACATGGATTCAGTGCAAACCGTGCCATAAGGGGAACTGTTATAGACAGAAAGACCCATTGTTCGACCCCTCCAAATCCACTTCCTACTCCCACATCCCCTGCAAGTCTACTCAATGCTCTATCCTGGCTCCCGACACCCCTTCTGGCCCCACCTGCTCCTCAACTGGCAACTGCGCTTACAGAGTCAATTACACCGATGGCTCCGAAACTCGTGGCGACTTCAGCAAGGACACGCTTACTATTGCACCAAACATTAACGTCTCTGCTTTCATGTTTGGCTGTAGCCATTATTCTAATATCAATGTTGGACTTGAAGCTGGAGTTTTGGCCCTCAGCAGATCCAACTCATCCATAGTTTCCCAAACTGCGAATCAGTTTGATCAATGTTTCTCCTACTGCATCCCTTCCAACCCATCCTCCAAAGGCTTTTTCGCACTCGGAAAAGATTACAATTGTACCACAAAATTTACCCCTTTGATTTATATATCACAATCCCCATATATGTATTTCATCACCATGATTGCCATAGCCGTGGACGGACGCAAGTTACATTTAGACGCAACAGATTTTGGGGGACCTGGAAACACCTACATGAACTCCGGCACAACCATCACCCAACTCCCGAATAATGTGTACAAAGTGTTGGCAAGAACATTTAACTATTTTATGATCAATGACTACGGATACTTCAACGCAAAACCGCCATATGATGCCTTAGGCCTCGACTATTGTTTCGTCCCTCATCACAAAAATGTTGTCCCAGTTGTGTCATTCACCTTTCAGAATAACGTGCAAATCGATTTGAATTTTTTCGGAACAATTATATTTTACAACAAATCTCTAATGTGCTTTGCTTTCGCCGGCAATGACGATTATTCTCCTACTTTCGGCACTACTCAGCAGAAAACATTCGAGGTCGTGTACGATGTTGGAAAACAGAGATTAGGGTGGATCCAAGGCATGTGTTAGTGACTTGTTTCAGTGCATTATTCCAAATACGTTGATGACCTCACCTCTTACTGTAAGGGTGATTTGTTTTATTTCCAACATTCCTGCAAGTTAGCCCTTTGTTGTATAATGAAAGATCGGAAATTGTGGGAAAATAAAAGTATGTTTTGCTACTTTTCTTATCTCTATTTGATACTTAGTTTTTTTTTTTTTTTTAGAAAAAAAATTATTGTATCCAATGGCAATTGAAAATGTTGGAACAAAAAGCATGTGAAAGAGGTAATTAAATGAGTAAATACTTTAATCAACACTAATGATCAAATATAATATGAGAAATTATTCTAAATCACGACATGGACTATATAAGCTCTTAGAAACTTTGTAATTGTAAGTAGGGATCTTCTATGGTCAGGTACCCCTCGTATATACTTAACATCAGATACTCTTTTATTGACCATTAGATTGATTCAAATTTAAATATCAACCACATATTCAATGTACGAGGTAAAAAAAAATTTGTCTCGTACTTGCATTGCCTCGTACTTGACTTGTACACCTCGTACATGACAAAAACCCTATAATACACTTATATCATTAAATATTAAAATAATTTATAAAACAATAATTGTATTTATTTTAAAAACCTTACAATTATATTATTTGTATAACGATCCTTCAAACACAGAAATATATCATCACAACCTTAAAGAATTAATCTACAAAAAATCAACATCCACATCAATATCTCCTTCTTCCTCCAAACCTTGAGTCGGCCCAATCTCAAACCCCTCCCACACCCGCCGCCCCGCCGCCGGCCCCCGACGTCTGCGTCGGAGTATTCCTCTCCTACTCCTACGAAAGCGGAAGGATCCTCCCGCCGATTCAGCCCTCGGATCCACCTACGTCCGACGATCGCCCGATTGAAGCATCTCGATTGATATGCCGATTGAAGCATCTCGCCCGATTTCCCGATCGCAGCATCTCGCCCGATTTCACAGGTAACAACTCTTTTGGTTCTTTTTACAGGATAAAATTAGGGTTCTTTTTTGCAGGATAAAATCAGGGTTCTTTTTTAGTTCTGTGATTTTGGGAATTAGGTTTGTGAATTAGGCTAGGCTTGGTTACTTGACAACTCCTAAAGATGAGCTCTTGCAGCAGTTATGAGGGTTTGCCATCATCAAATTCCTACCCTTTTAGCACGCATTTTTCTTACAGGTTCATTTTTTCTCACTCACACTCTCTGATTCTTTATTTAATAATGTATCATATTTGGTGTAATACATATATATATGTAATATGGTTCAAAAGATTAGACCTTTTTTAACAATGCAGAACCTTAGTTTTATGGGCTTTGTTTTTTAAGTTGGTGCCTGAGACATTTTCTTGTTTTCTACAGTTTTAATGGCATAAAATTATTTGCAGCTAATAATTGTAATAATAACAATACATGTCCATTTTCCTATTAGAAATCCCATTCCTATTAACTATATCTTACTTTTGTATGGAAAAAACAAGATCTTGCATTTCATTTTGCCTTATCTTGCACATACATACATTAAATTGGAATGGACACTAAATGGACTGAAGCAGAGAGCATATCAGTTGATCTTTAAGTACGGTAATATATTTTTTTTTATTTTTTTTTTTTAATTCACTGAAACATTTTTCTTGGCTATCTTGAATAATGAGTGTAATGAAACATAATGTTGAAAGTAGGTGTTTCTTTTAGTCTAATGATGCATAATTTTATATCTCGTTTTGCCAGTTGTGGGTCGTGCCGTTACGAACTAAACCTGAACCCATGCAACCGCAAGATATCAGCCATGGATGCAAAATACGAAAAGTCGATGAAATGAGGAGTTATTTCATTCTTCTCAGTTGATGAGAGCAGGTTTACTTAAATACACAAAATTCCTTGGTTGTCGTATTTGACGATATCAAACAAGCCCTCATCCTGGAGGATCTTTAAGAAACGAACCACATTGCTATGTAGAAATTGTGGGAATTATATTTGGAGTCGCTAGTAATGCGGACAATAGTTCTCCTCGTTCGTCTCCATTCAAAGCTATGGTCAAGCACAATTCAGCAAAGACTTGGGATGAGATTTCTGGGCGCAAGTCGTACGAGATCAAAATATGTTCTTTGAGGCCCGTGTCGTTTGATGGACCTGCATTTTTCATGTGATGATTGTAAGGTAGAAAAAGAATCTTATTTCTGTACTTTGTTCAAGTGTCATGAGAGTGTGTTCTAACAAAAATGATAAGGCATGAAGCCTTTGTCATGAGTAATGTGCGCTGTCAAATATGAAGGAATAAGGCCTGACATTGTAAAACTTTGGTCTCTTCTTCCCATCATTTATAAATGTTGTTTTGTTTGGATGTAATTTTCTTATAGTGCATATGAGAAGACTTATATTACATTTGCTTTTATCTGTTTAATACTGTCGTGATATGAAGTTCTGATTTGAAAAAGATGGCTTTGAAGTAGCTTCATGTAAGGACTGCCTATAGAATTATAAAAGGGACTACCTATAGAACTAGCCTTTGGTTCAAACCTAGAGCATGTGCCGCTCATAAGCTTAGCTCGGCAAGACTCGGTAAGGCACGAGCCGAGCTCGAGCTAATTTAAACCTCGTTCAGTTAACAAGCCGAGCCTATAAGGCTTGGAAAAATAATTTTATATGTTTTTCTATAGTTCAATTTGGTTTTGGATCGTTAAAGCTCGAATTAATAGTTAAGATTGATAAACGAGTCGAAGTCGAGCTCAAACTCGATTATAAGCTCGTTAAGGGCTCGAGTAGCATGAGCCCGAGCTCGACTCGGCTCATTTACACCCCTATTCAAACCTAGCTTCACCAATGCCATTTGACTGGAAGTTAAAAAGCCATCACCTAGGAGATGCAACTGAAATGAATAGAAACACAAAAACACCTCAGAG